GATGATGATGATGATAAAAGTGGAAATAGTGGAAATAGTAGTGATAAAGATAAAAATAGTCGCCAACTACTCAAACAACAAAAACAACAACAAATCAATGAAGAAATTGAATTATTAACAATATTGATTGAATCGAAAAAAAATCAAATGAAATTTATTATTGGATAAGAATTGATCGATCTCAGATAACAACAACTTGATCAATTGATCAATCGATCCGATCGATAACAATTTTTTTTTTTGGATTGATTTGTTGTTGTTGTTGTAATTGAGAAAAAAAATAAATTTTGTCAAAAAAACCCAAAAATCGGAACCTTTTTTTAACACTTGAGAATTTCCAACAACCAAAAACAAAAAAAAAACAATGTACATTTGGAGAGCAGAGGGTTTAATTTAACAGGCAGGGGAGAGATAATAATCATATGTCATATATCAATAGCGGGTTAAAAAAATTGCACATTTTTTTTTGTCATCAATCTTGTAATAAAAAATGATGGTGGGGAATGGTGGTGGTGTAAATCAAAAAAAAAATCCAAGAATTTCTCCAATTTTTTTTCAGGTTTGTTTAAACACACCTTTAAAAAAACCAGAAACCAAAAAAATTTTTAAGGATAGTCAGCCGGCCGACCGGCAAATTGTTAATGATTATGGATTGTTAATCATCATTTTTCATATCCAAATGATAATATTCGATGTAATTTTTTTCCTGATAGAATTTTTTATTACCATCTTTTTTCATTAGATATCATTATAGTCAATTATCAACTTATTGGTGTCCTTGTGGCGTGTGTGCGTGTTATTAATAGAAAGTTTTTTTTTTTTGTGGATTAATTTTTTTACAATTTTTTTCAGGTAAAAAACCTGATAAGTGTGCTTGTAAGTGATCTTTACAGAAAGAAAAAATCCTTTTTTTTTTGTTGTAAATTTTCTTAATTTGCAATAAGTACATCGCCGGCAATAACATCCAAAAGTCTTGTTTTTTTATATTTTTTTTCCATTCTTAAATTGTTTGTTGATCGATTGACAACCCAGCAAAGATCGATCGATTGATTGATTTTGATTCCGTTTCTTTTTTGTTTGCCCTGAAAAAAAACGAAAACAAAAGAAATGAATAAATTATGGGATCGAGCATTATCATTACGTACTGAATCGGATATTCTACGTGAATTTTTAGCCGAATTTCTTGGTACACTTACGTTTGTGGTAAGCCAAAACATAAGAATATTCTTTTTGTTTTTCTATGAAGATTTTTTTTTTGATGAAATTTTTTTTTCCATCAGTGTTTAGGATGTTCATCTAATGCTATAATGGTTGTTTCGGGTTTCAAGCGTTTTTCATTAATAACCGGACCATTATCATGGGGTTTAGCATTGACTGTTGCTATTTATATTTGTGGTGGTGTTTCGGGTGGCCATTGTAATCCAGCTGTATCATTAGGATTAGCATCAATCAAAAAATTTGAATGGAAAAAATTGCTACATTATTTTTTGGGACAATATCTTGGTGCATTTGTTGGTTCATTA